GTCTAATTTATTCTTTTTTTTTAAGGTATTACAGTGTGTATACTGAAAACAGAGCCAGTTTACAGTAGGCACACATTCCTCGCCACCCCCCTTTATCTCTGAAGTTTCATTCTAATAATCACTGAAATAATCTTAGTCATGCCGGCTCTCGTCTTTGACTCTGACAGGCTGAGTCGTGTTCAAAGATGTGTTAGAATAACTACATAAACAATCACGGTGTTTCTTCTTGTAATGTGTGTGTTGGTGTGCCTGCATTTAACAAAATAAAATGACCAAAGACTATAACATAAGTTCACTGCTACTTATTCCATTGTTGCTCCTCACCATGACTTTTTGTTTTTTAATGACATTGCATGTTTTGAAATATAACCCACCATTTATTTTTTTTTATTCTTCCTGTTCTTTACTCTTCCCTCTTGTTCTGGCAATAAATTGAGACTTCAAGCAAAACACACTTATCCAACAAAAGGGTTTTCCAAGAGTGGTAACATGCTATGACCCATGAAGTGCATATAAGCCTTTCGGTCTCTCTACCTCACGGAACACACACACACACACACACACACACACACATCTGTGTGCAAACAACACATATGGCAACATCTGCATGTGATGAAATGGTCAGCACTCCAGTAAAACTGGACGAGGCTTTAAAGACATTCCTCCATTTTACGGCTAGGTGAGAGAGGGACGGCCGGAGGTAATGAGGAGGCAAACGGCTCAAGTGTCATCGGCACAACACCACCTTCTTGATTTCTATCACAGCTTTCCGGCGGGGGCAAACAAACAGCAACAGTCAACGCAAAGCTGAGGTAATTGACATTCCTTATGAGGTGGAACATAATCCCCAATAGGTTTGTATTTATGCTCTTTTGTGTGTTTGTATGCATAGTCCGTGCAGTCCCTCGGTGCAGTATAGAAATCATGTTATCAGTCAAAAGGCTCACTAGATGTCCAGTATGACCAGTTAAAGAAAATTCCTTTAGCTGCACCAAGTGGGAATACATGATTTAAAGTTTGGTTATTTAGCACAGCTCTGTCAGTGCATTACTATACCCAGCTGTTCAATTATATAAAATGCAATCATTTTCCAACAATAATTTTGTGAAGCGATGGGGATGTGGAAGAAGCAAAAAAGAAGCCTATATAAGTTATCCTGCACAGAACACCAGCAAGAATGAAAAAAGGTTTAGCTGCATGAAGACAGCCGTTACCTCATGCTTGCAATGACAGCCTGCTCTCACTCTCGTCTCGTCACACACAGACAGGTTAGGACCAATAAATTGCACTGGACACTCTTTTAGCGTCATTTTTCATCAAACGTCTCTGAACTGCTGAAATAATCTTACTGAAACTAGGGAAATGTTCTCTGCTGCTGTCATCATTGTCACAGGAAGTAGTCTGTTGCAAATATGGAAGTTGGCTACCCTTGGAAAAACCCTTCTATTTATTCTAATGGTCATCCAAGCATGTCTTTACTGATATATATAGAGGAGTCAGAGCTTGTCATAAAGGGTACAGGGGAGGTGATCAAGTGTTGTTTTTATGGGGGAAAGTGCTAAGGGCCAACCGCATTTTAGTGAGACTGAAGTCTAGACTTAGGCTGCAAAACAAGCCGCAATCATCACCTCTCCACCACCGCGCTTGGCGGTTGTTGCGAGGTGTTTGTGTTGATATCTCCACTTTGGTCTTGACATTGTTCCTGAACTCTTGAGGTTTGTTCAGCTCCAACCTTTCAAACCTAAGCTGCATTTTTAGAGGGATGCAAATGCTTCCAAACAAACCACATTTTAAATGCTAGCTAAGGCCTTTAGAGTATGAGATGTAGGTCTTGGACTTTTTGCAATTTCTCCGAGCATTGCACAGTTGGGGGTTGAATCAGATGAAGTATCTGCTCCTGGGAAGATTGTAGCATTTTGTTAACACACACCTCGATGCTTTAGACCAGCAAACAGTCAAAAGTTATGCTTTTGCAAAGGTGGTCATACTCGCTGATGATCACTTAATCAGGTGCATTTGAGTAAAAGCATTTGAGTACTTACCCTCTAAATTCTTATGGAAGCAGTAAGGGTGTCTTGTGAAAACCTTCTTTTTTGCATGGCTGTATTCGAGGTACGTTTTGTGTGGCATTATTAGAGAACTTACAGGATAGCAGAAAGTAACAAAACAAGAACCAAAGCAAGTGCATACAAATACTTTAGAGTTTTTCTTTAAGTCTGAGGTATGTACACTACTAAATATATCACTTAATATAAACTGTCTCTGTTCTCCCATAGTTTGTGATTTTCTCTTTTCATTTTAAGTAGCCTCTCTATATTCTTCTTTTCTTTCTCCTATTTTCTTCCTGCGTCCTGCCCATCTTGAGCTTGGTTCTGCTGGAGATCTGTTCCACCCCTGCCAAATGCATGTTCATGGGGATCCTCTCTAAAAAACAAAAAAAGAACTATTTTTTGAGCTGACTGATGCAAAAATTGTAGAAAGTTGCAGTAACTGTGTAGCTATATCCTGTTCATATCTTACAATTTTGTTAGTAGCAATCTAGAAGAAAGAATAATTAATCTGTGGGACTTATCACTAAACTGTTCTTAACAAAACTATTTTCAACAAAACTATTGATCATGCTCAATCAATAAAGCAGATGTCAATAATGGGTTAATTTGAATACAGATTGCACTCATGGGATCCACTGTTAAATAAAGCATTTATATTCACATGAAAATTCTTAGGATGTGTTGTAGCGCACTTAGAAACAGATGAAATAAATAAAAATAAAAACACTGACAGATTGACAGCTCTCTGTTGTGCCACAATCCTCTTGCGTTGAGTCATGCCATGCTGCAGATCAGACACCACCTTCCCGGCTGCCTCTCAGTGAGTGGGTAATCTGGAGTGTCACACAACCTCTCCAATCCCAGGCCAAGCTATCCAAACAGTTCTGGTGAGCAGGGGGAGGAAATTGAATTTCCCCCCTCAAAGACAGGCCTCCAAATCCCCATCAACAGGAGCTTAGGGAGCCTGCAGTCCATCAAGTTTCATCTGCTACGGTGGTCCGGCCAATCAGGTTTCTCCTTTTTTGCACACATGCAAACATCGGCGGATGCACACACAAAAACTAACACGCTCACACACGCATGCACAGAGGCACTTGTGTCACATGCACAAATAGAAACATATACACACAATCAAACAAATGCAAACTTGCACACAAACACACACACACACGTACAATCCTACCCCTCCTCACAGCACCAGCATTAGGATCAACAATCAACAATCTGAGGCATTGTGGAGCCTGTGATCCTGTGACCTTTGACCTGTGGAGTTAACCCTAGAGCAGGCAGTGCTGAGAGGTGAACCAGGCAGCTCATTGAAGGGAGGGGAAGTTCCCATGAGAACAGGAACAGGGGCGTTTCAGTGATCCAAGACCCTGACGATGATGGCGATGAAGGGCTTGAAGTGGACTTCAGTGTTCTGACATGCCGGTGGGCTTGGCTGGGGCGTAAGATGTTCAACACGGAAAAACCTCAGAAAATGTGGCTAAGATTGTTATGCAAACACAATAACCTCAAACTGCTCTGGGGGTGTCTGGCATTATTTTTCTGCCGGATTAATGTTACTCGTAATCAAACGTTCTTAAGTAAAGCAAAGCAGATACTAATGTAAAATGAGAACAAACTTCAACCAAAACTCCTTGTGCCTGATTTAACCCCCCCACACACACACACACACCCTCCCTTTTCATTACTGTGTTGACAGTCTAACACACAACAGCTGCTCCCACCAGCACCAGCATCTTCTCTAGAGTAAAGCTCCATCTGCAACACCTCTTTCTGGGCATCCAGGTCAGCAATCCAACTCCCCGCTGGAGAGAAGAGGGCCTTGCATGTAAGGGGCCAAAATGGCCTTTCAGTAAACTGAAACAATTAATTACTGGATAAATTACTGGATAGCAATTTGGTGACAAAATATTCAAATTCACAACATATCAATGCAATTTTTATTTTATTTTATTTTTTAACAATAGCTGTCTTGATATCAGCAGATTGGCAGGTACATCTGTACCTGAAGCTCACATGACCATGTCATAGTTAAGTTACAAAAATGCCACTAAATAACTCTATAACATATAGCCAAATGTTGAAAACCTTCTGGTCTTCAATGAGGAAAGGTCCCTTACAGTTTTATCCCACTACATTCAGAAATTTCTAGAAATTAAGCAACCGTTCATATTAGCTTCAAACAAGCGATACTCTAAACGCTAACCTAAATGTGCTGCTTCCAGCAGCTGTTTTTAATAAAGAACACTTTCAGAAATTGAAAGGTAATTATGGCGCTTTAAAGCCTCCATTAACAGTTTGATTATCTTGCTTGCTGTGTTTAATGTATTAACTTGCTGATTGCTCATTACTGCTTCATTTAACACTGACTAACACTGACTGGTTCCAACAATGAGAAAAGGTGATATGAATCATTTGGTAAAATAATGCTCATTTGCTAGGTGACTACATGAATATGAATGCTAGACCCCCTTATTTATTTAATCTGTTTATTTGTCTCTATAGGGACAATATTTAATTTGGCTACTTCCAGGTTGGACTATTTTAAGTCCATATGATGATGCAATACTTTCAGTTAGTGTAATATGCAGCAGCAAAAGTACTAAATGCCTTTTGTCTTAGTGTCTCTTAAATTTTAAATTCCTATTTAAACACTTCTCCTCACATACAAAGTCCAGAGTCCTGATGCGACCCCATCGTATCTAAAATACATCAGAGCACTCTTTTATCTAAATATAGCACTTTGTTCTCGGAGATTCCTAGACTACCTAAAAGTAGAATGGGAGGCAGAGTCTTCAGCTGTTAGTTCCTCTCCTGTTGAACCAGGTTCCAAGTTGGGTTCAGCAGACAGACACCGCCTCTAATTTTAGGCTTAAAACGTTCCTCTCCGAAAAAGGCAGGTTTTGAATATGGTGACATTAGGATGGGATCAGCTGATCCTAGAGCAAATCTTGGTTGCAGTGCAATAGACTCATGCTGCTGGGGGTTTTCTGTGATGGACTGAGCACTTCTTCACTCAGCTCTTTTCATTACTGATGCCTTTACATGCCACTATTAATGGTGATTATCTACAATTTCTCCCATAGTTTTCCTTTTTCTATTTTTATTGTTGGTGGCCTCTCCATGTTCCTCTTTTTATTCTTCTCTTTCCTCTTAAGCCCAAACTGGCCACGGCGGTTTCCTGCCCCCTCTTGAGTCTGGATCTGATGGAGACTCTCTCGACCACTGCAGGTTAGCTGGCACCAAAAACTTTAGAAAATTCTGTGTAGTTATAGCTGTTTTATTTGTTACAGTTTTGACAGTAGCAGTTTGACTTATAGAAGACAAAAGAGGCTCCTGGATACTGAATGACCACATCAACTACTCAAAAAACTTCAAAGACTGACAAAAATCATGGAAATCCATTCAAACAGGCTGCAAATCAGCGAAAACTGCAATAAAAGGCCTCAGCTTTTTTGATCACGTCCTATACGATCCTGTGTAACACACGCGCAAACACAGACACACTTTCTAACAGTGGGCTATATCCTGTTAGGCGGTCCTCCAGCAACTTCCAAACAATGTATCTTTTAGATAAGGATCTGATCGCTGTGTGTGTTGAGTGTGTGGGTGTGTATGTATCCGTGTGTGCGTGCGATGCTGGCTATAACCGGCAGTATTCATGCTGCACCGGGCTCTCAACATTTCTACAGCTGTCGCCTCTTGTACTCTCTGACCTCCACCAACAGGTCCTGAGGCCATAAGTCCTCATGGCAGCTACTCAAACTCTCCACTCTGTGAGTGGATCTGCAGAGCCAAGGACAAGTTCTTCAACAGCAGGACGCGTAGAAGCATTTCACACTCTAAACAAATGTGTGGATAAACACGGGCATAGATATAGTACGGGAACACATGCAATGAATAGAATCCACAAAACAACAAAAACAAATGGGATAGAGTTACTTGGCAGCAATTTATCAAAGCAAAACAGGGAATCCTTTTATTCAAGCAAACAAACAGATCTGCAGGAGCGTCTATATTCTAGCAGTTGGTTGTGCTGCGCCAACAGCTGTCCGAGTCTATATGCTGTCTGAAGACAGTGTAACATTACCTGAAACAAGCTGAACTATTTCCAAATACTCAGTGATTAGGCACACACTGCCCTGCCTTGAAAACATCTAACTTCATCTAGCCTAAACCACTCAAGAGTCACAAACGTTCACCTCTTTATGAACAGGTGGGATTCATTAGTCTGAAATGAATGATTTATGGCAAGTTTGCACAGTTAAAAGAATCTGGATAATTAGACTGAAAAACAAGATAAATCTGTTTTGAGCAAGGATCCAAAATTGCTCTTCTACGAGGCCAATTGTTTCTGCAGTTGACACGAAAATGTAAAAAAGAAAAGTCAGAAAGTTTGTCTTTTTGCAAAGGCATCAGCCATTTTTCTCTCTGCTGTATTCTTATTTTTAAGACTTTTCTCTGAGGTGTTTCTGTTTAAAGGGAATTGTAAATTTTCAAATTTATTTATAATGAAAGAAAAATGATCTGAACATTTGATTGTAACACCACATCAAGACTTTTGTTACACACAATTAAATCCATGGACAGAAACACATTAATCTAGTCCCGCCACCAGTGAACTAAATATCCACTTCCCTTCCACACACTCAAAAGTCTTCATTTGTTCCATAATGGCCAACGGGCAGTTTTCTGGGGGCCCCAGATGGATAGACCCTCTCTCTGTCGACCCATTGCTAGTCACATGAGCCTCATGAGTGTGCACATCTCCCCCCAGAACAAGGCAGACATAGTGTGTTATCCATCACCGATGGCATTCATATCTCCCAGCTTCAAGCGCACATTGAGTGCAAATCTTCACTATTGGAATCATGTGCAAAGAGATAAGTGCCAAAGCCAAATGGCACAATGGGAAATGATGGGGGGCTCTTGAACAAGAGCACATCCAGTTCTTCTTCCATTGCAGCAGGGGTCAACTTAAGTAAAAGGAAAACCTTCTCAGGAAAGGATCATCAACATTAGCACAGATGCTCTTCTGTTCTCTCTCTCTTTGCTCCCACCGGAAGCCTCTCTCCCATATACACATGCAGACACATTTCTCTGTCAATCTGTGATGGATGTCCACTTCACAAATGTGAGCAGATGAAGTCTGGGGATTCCCGTTTCCCAGGGGCCATTGGGTGGCTTTGGCGGGAGAGAGGACCTCTGTTATGTAAACATAACAGGCTGCACTTCCTGCTTGGTCAGAAAAAGGGGAGAGGGAGTGAGCGTGAGCAATGCTTTATGTTATTTCTGAGACAAAACACGGATCATGGAGGAGGACGAGGGAGGAGCAGGACTTGGAGGAACGGGGGTGGCAGAGGAAGAGCCCTTTCCCTCTCAGCTGCACCTCCACTTCCTGTGTGGGGAGGAAGTCCCTTGTTGGATGCACACTGATCTCATTCTAGGTTGAGAGGAGCTTCCGCCCTGGCGAGGAGTGGCTCTTTGAACCGCCAACTAAAGAAGGAAAATTGAGAAGTAAGGTGCATGCACGCAGATATCCCTCTACTGATTATCACAGTGGAAATCCCCCCCACCCACACACCCACACACACACACACACACACACAACCAGTCCGACATGAAATAGTGCTGCTTGGAACAAACAAGCACTTCCTGTGTGTACTGGGACCTATTCACAGAGAGAGGCCAATCAAAATCCAATGTTTTGTCCACAGCATCATTACCACCATCATTCAGGGGACATTACTTCTCATTTGCTAATAGCTACATGGCCTTATTGATGCTTACACTGGCCCTAAACCCCAAACACCAAAAGCAACCCACTCTCTGATGACCCATGTTTGGACTTGTTCTATGCGGAAGTCCGCTTTTCCTTTAAAAGTTAGCCACTAATTGAAATACATTAGCCTTTAATTGCCTCTTTTTTCCTTTCACCCATCATGCTGACAGGCGGCCCAATATTTAAGTTTGCCTCTAATTTGTTGTAGAAATACCACGGCAGCAAGGCAATGTGGCTCAAGGGGCTTTTGAGTTGTTAGTTTACAGTACCATTACATTGAGAGATGGCAGGAACAGAACAGCCATTATATTCCTAGTTCAATGTGCGGTCAGCACTGCGTCTAACGACGGAAACGTGCTGGGCTGCTGAATTGCTGTAGTTTAAGTCTCAATTAATGCTAAATTATGAAGAACACCACATGATGGTGGCATGTTGTTCATCCATGAGAGCGGCTCAGGCAAAAATAAAACACAGCTCCTCATGATGTTACATAATACTCATAAGATTTTAAATTTGGAACTTTTCGAATTTGTCCGTCTCCGTTTTTCATATCTATTGTTGCTGTTGTGTATGATTTACATAATGCTATTTGCTTTCTCCTAAATATTTTTATTCCTGGTGGTTTAGGCCAGATGACTGTTGTGATAGTATGGTTTAATGCCACAGCAAACACTGCTTCTGCAGCCATGTAATTAATACAACAGGAGGGTAAATGGTGTTTCCGAATCCCTCTTTTTGAAGCTAAGTTTAGCACTGTGGCTATCACATCTTGTTATTTTGCAGCCAGAAGTGACCATACACAGGCCACACAGACCCATGCTAATTATTCCTAAGTGACCTACAAAAAAATACTTAAATTTCACTCACAAAAAACCTTAACAAAGACCTCTTCGGAAACGCTGAGCATAATTAACCACATAGCAAGAGAGGGAGTTCAGTGACTAAAATTAGCTGAGGTGAGGCACAGCATTAGCTAGCAGCTACAGCTGCCAGTTTCATATACAACCATCACTCAAAGTGGCCTCACCGTAACCTTAAGCCTGAGTACAATTTAAAGTGCGAGTTTTAAAAAACAAACAACATTAAAAAACGGTGCAAAAAATGTAATGAAAACCTAAAAGACTGTGGTTTAATTTTCTGATGTCCTTACCTCACAACATAAAGCGCCTTGAGCTGACAGTTGTTTAGTTTTGGTGCTATATAAATAAAATGTAATGACTTGGGTGTACAAATATTTTTGTAGTGGAAAAAGACCTAAAACTACAAACTCCCCACGCCCCATCGATTCTATTTGATTCTGTCAAGTTTCATTTGGTAGCTTGGACAACATATCGCCATAAACCAAACGTCTACACATCCACACTCTCTCTAAATTATTGATTCACTTTTCAAACAAATGATACCTGCGATAAGACTTCGCTGTTTGCCTCCAAGCCTCCTCTTTTTTTCCTTTCTGCCTGTCCTTCTTCTTTGTTTTCTCTTTGTCTGTGTATGTTTGGACCAGGAAGCAGCCTTCTTATCTGAGCACACAACCCCAGTGAACAGCGGGGCAGCCTGTGGAAGCTCAACTCTGGGTAAACTTTGCCTTAACTTTGAAGCTAGCCATGCGAGTGCATGTCCTCAGGGCTGCCTGGAGCACTCAGCACCGGTGACTCTCCAAAGAGGAGGTCAATGGGACAGGTAAACAGGAAGTGCCAGCGTGGTGATTGACAGCCTGTTTAGACACAAAGAGATGGATACTCTGGGAATGCTAAGTCACAGACAAACGAGCACTCACTAGATGCAGCAGGGCACAAGGCTGCTTTCTTGTTCTCTTAATTAACTACAAAAGAGCTTTCATTTTATGTTTTTTATGTTTATTTTCATATCTTGGGCCTAAATTTTGTGATTTGTGGCAGTCTTTTCCATCGGGCCAGTAACTCTGTAACTTTAGGAATGAGATTTGTGACATTTTTCTACCTATCCACCTTGACCTTTCATGTCCTTGCATTTGATTGCATTATATATTTGCCTAACCCTGATCTTGGTTGTTCAAAAGTGGGCTGTAACATAAAACAACTAGTATACACTATTGGGGATTTCTTTCCCAAAGGCAAGCTGTTTCTTTCTGACATAACACTGGTTTCTTTTCTGACCCCATAAAAGAGGAAGTTGTTGTCTTTTTCCCACAATTCATATTCTAAATAAGGTCAAAATATTGAACTAATGGCTTAAGGGATAAGGGATCTCTCCATCTTTTTAGCCACAGACTTTTTCTTGTGTCTTTACACTCAGAATGAAACATGATTTAGTTCATTTTAAGTCTGAAAACCTTTTGTAGGGTTTTAGCTTTTGGAGTAATTACAAGAATTATGAGCTGCAACAACACATTCTGCAAAGAAGGTTGAAATAAGGTCTAACAAAGACGTATACTCAACATGACAACACTTTTTAGGTGTTTTTCAAAATAACAGGAGAGGGGACTGAAGAGGACGAAAGATTAAAAAAAAAGATAACGCATGACGCACGCATACATGTTTCTTGTAAAGCTTGCAGCAGATATGACATTACAGTGGCAGACACACCCATCCCATCTTTAAACAAATTAATGTGAAGTATAAAACCAGAATACTAAAGCCCTCATGGGTGATGATGACAGGAGGTAGCATATGCATCTATGCCATATAGATTGCTGAGGTATGCTTGCAAAATTGCAGTTGGAATATATCAAAATTAACTGGATCAAATATAAAATTGTGGCGATCGTGGCTCAAGAGTTGGCCGTTCGCCTTGTAATCGGAAGGTTGCCGGTTCGAGCCCCTGCTTGGACAGTCTCGGTCCTCGGGCAAGACACTTCACCTACTGCCTAGTGGTGATGGCCAGAGGGGCCGATGGCGCGATATGGCAGCCTCGCTTCTGTCAGTCTGTCCCAGGCCAGCTGTGGCTACAACTCTAGCTTGCCTCCACCAGTGTGTGAATGAACAGTGGAATTGTACAGTGCTTTGAGGGTCTTGAAAAGTGCTATATAAATGCAATCCATTATTATTATAAAATTGTGACACTTTGAGGTGTGAAAAGGGATCCAGTCTCCTGCATTCCCACCCTGACCATTCCCATGCAGCGATGCTGAGGGTGCTTGCAGGCTAGCAACAACCTGGGTGGCAGACTGAGGTCTGGCACTGCAGCTTGCTCACGCTAATCACGTTGATTGTTGCGATTACAGACCATTTCCCCTCCTAGTGTCATGCTGCAACTTACTGACCTGGATCTAACAGGAAGTCCTGCTCGCCATAGGCAATCTGTCTTCCTGTTCTCCTCCATCCAAGTCCTCACCACCCACCCATCTACCAAAAACACCCACTCCCTCCCTCCTTTCCGCAACTCAAACACAATCAGTCCAAAGGTAACTTAGGGACTGTTTCCTCAACCCTTTGCCAAGCATGTCATTGCCAGGAGGTTTACTAGAAAATAGCTCTCTCACACACACAAACATACACATTCTAATATTGTGTCTACACTTCCCTTTTGGCCAGCTTCCTCTTTTTCACTGGGGGCTTGCAGTGGGATAAAGTCTTCCCTGTTCCTGTGTGGCCAGCAGGCATGCAGATGTTTGTGCCCTGCTCTTTGCCCATATGTTTATCAGATCACCGTGATGTTTCATAATCTGCGCTATAAGCACTGAGCAGATAACAGGCCCTTTGATTTGGGCCTGATTTCCCCTTATCCCCCATGTTAAATTTAGCACAGTGATTACTAAGTGAGATAATGGGCCTCGGTGGCCTCGTGGAAATCTTATGGGACACACACATACATACAGACACACACCAGTCCTGCTTGGAGGATGTGAGTTTGTATGGTCAGAAAAGATAGAAGTGTAATGTTCAAGAATGTAACAGTCAGAGATGCCGATTATAAGATACAGCTACAACAGTTTATCACATCTCTTTTCAAAGGAACCAGGTGATTCTTCAGTTCTGGCAAAACTTCAGTTGATTGCAATATCATATTATTTTTACCTCATTTGTTTGCAACATAACAGCATATCATTATTGTTTCAGAGGCACAGTCCCATCAAGCCTCTTTGTAAGACACAGCTGCTAATTGGTAAATTCCAGTGTTTCCAGTCCCATTGCCACAGGTGGGTGGTACTATAAATAGGATGCCACCACAGCAGCAAGTCATGAAATGTCATTTCTTCTAAATATTCGATGATCGGCTGTAAGGGGTATTATTGTAAAGTGTAACTGAGTGGTAAGGCTCATAATGTGTAAAAGTTTGTTGGGATGTTTCAATGGGCTGAGCAGCTCCTGTAAGTGCAATGTATAGGTGGCCCAGTACTTTTGTCCATATACTGTAACAACTCTTTCTTCAACTCCTTCTGCAGCTCAGGAGGTAGAGCAGGTCATCTGCTGGTTGAAAGTTGGTGGTTTTATCCCTGCCTCCCCCAGTCTGCATGCCGAATATCCTTGGGGAAGATAATAACCCCAAGTTGCTCTCCGATGCATCCATTGGAGTCTGAATGTTAGTTAGAAAGCATAGAAGTGCTTGTGTGAATGTGGCATGTTGTATAAAGCGCTTTGAGTGCTCCGGGAGAGTAAAAAAGTGCTATATGAGGATCAGTCCATTTACCATTTGCTGGACATGCATACTCTGCATATTCAATAAATGAACAAAAAACAATCCCCACACATCCTCCTCATCCTGTGGGAAAGGTGCAGAGAAATAATAGTTTGCACACAGCAGAATTACAAATTCCTTATTTATTGCATGACGGTAACACCAGGCAACATCATCTTAAATCGCCTGAGAACAGCCACATGACCATGACTAATACCAATAACATCCAATCAAGCACCAGATCTTATACAGGACAAGTATATTGATAAGATTCTTCTAATCTAAAGATTACACTGAAAAATTACACTGAAATAAAGAAAAGAAAAAGAAAACGTGATGCTATTAAAAATGTATTTCCTTCAGTCTCATCAGTTTTTTTTTACCTGCCTTACCATGACTTCCACCTTAAACTGATTTCTTTTCGGTCCAGGTACAGTTTGTCATAACAGTTTGATAAATATAAATATACGTGTACATATATATATTTAGAGAGAGAGAATATATATAAAAGATTGCTAATTACATACCTTAAAAAGAACACAGGCACTTAAAGAGGAAAAAGGAGGAGGAAACGTTGGCATGACCTCACACAAAAATGCAGCTTAATTGATTAGTGAATCACATGATGGAAGTCAGAAAAGATGGAGGAAGGGGGGAAGGCTGTTGAGAAAGTTTTTTTTAGAAGGGAAGGGTGAGGCTCTTGACCTTGTGGAGGGCATAAAGGTCACAGGCCTGTAGGTTACTGGTGCCTGTCAGGAATTCATCCGCAAAGACCTTCCGTTCCAACACAATCACATCAATTGACAGCAAAGGATGATCAATGATGACAAGACAGGGCGATCTGATGGGTCAGTGGGTTGTAGTGGGAACACAGTGTCCCTGAATCTTGAATATTAATCATCCCATTATCTCTTTCTCTGATTATATCTGCCACTTGTTCATCTCACAGTGTGTTTCTGTCCATTTCTTACAGTATGTGCATTTCTGTGCATAACATCCATGTGTCATATAAACAAATGAGCATTGCATTCCAGCAGGTGGCATGCCTTTAATTTCCATGCACACTAAACCATGAACAGATGGAACAGCATGGTATGTCTGGCATATTACCTTGCTGGTGGTCAAACTGAACTCGATGCCCTCTACGTTCATTTTCCTGCAGCGCAACTGTCCTTTGTGAGGAGACTCAAAGTCACTGAATGCACAGAAAGAAAGAAATGTGCAACTGGGAGCTACATACTAATGCTCTTCTGTTCTTTTACCTCACATGAGGTATTTATATCCCCAGCTTTCATTTCAAACTTCATAAACTTCAAAACACATCATGCAAACAAAGCCTCTATATATAATGTGCTTTGCATACATTGCACATTTTTAATCTAAGTGTCTAATGCCAACGGGAATTGACATTTTTTGTTGCTTACAACAATCATTTTTGTGTGCCAGGCATGCTTTCATATTAAAAGCTTAAGGGAGGATGATGTGAGAGTGAGGGGAGGAGAGGAAAAGAGAAGAAATAAACCAAGGCTGCCACATGCCTGTCAATACTCCAACCAAAGCCAATTCTCTAGAGACCATCAGGGGGACCGTCAGTGGGAGCATCACTATGACAACGCCTAGACCCCCAAAATCAGGACTTCAAAAGTGGAAAGGCGTCCCACTGAGTGAGTGGGGGACCACCTCCTACAGTCATTTACATCTCATTAGGAAATAGCTGCTGTTTAGCAACGAGGCGCTTAAACACACGCTTATTCCATACCGTACACATGCTACTGGTATATGCTACTCTTATTGTATTTCATACATTAGGCACAACCAGTTTTTAGTCCAATACATGGCACATTAGCCTGCTGAAAGTATGTATTAAAAGATGGGCACACTGTGGTTAAAAAGGGATAGGCATGGTTAGGTAGGCTGAGATATTTAAAAAATGCTTGTGCTCAGCTGGTACTAAAAGAACCCAAAATATGCCAAGAAAATATACCCACACGCCATTACACTGGCAGTAGCTGGCTGAACTGTTGAGACAAGGCAGGATACAAGCTTTAATATTGCTTAAAATCCTCACCATACCATCCAAATATTGCAGCACAACTGAGACTGATCTGAGTAGGCAAGTTTCTTTAATCTTCTCTTGTCTTCTGTTGTAAATTGTAGCCTCAGTGTTGTGTTCTTAGCTTACAGGAATGGCACCTGGTGTGATCTTCTGGTGCTGTAGCACAGCGGTCCCCAACCCCCGGGCCTCGGACCGGTACCGGTCCGTGAGTCGTTTGGTACCAGGCCGCGAGAGTTGAGGCTCAGGTGTGAAATGTATGGTTTTCAGGGTTTTTATCGATTTTCAGCGTCATTTTGTTACCGTTTTTATCGTTCACTCGGTTTTCCTGGGTGTTTTCACGTGTGTTATGAATAAATCTTCTTTTATTCGGTACCGGTACTAGTTTTATTTTGTTGTATTTATCCGCGACACCTTAAAGGCCGGTCCGTGAAAATATTGTCGGGCATAAACCGGTCCGTGGCGCAAAAAAGATTGGGGGCCGCTGCTTTAGCACATCTGCTTCAGGGTTTCGCATGCTGTGCATTCTGCAATCCTTGGTTGTAACAAGTGGATTTTATGAGTCACCTTATTATCAGATTGAAGCAGTCTGGCCAGTCTCCTTGGACCTCTGGGACCAACGAGGCATTTTTACCCAGAGAGCTGTCACTCACTGGATATTTTCTCTTTTTTGGATCATTCTCTGCAAATCCTGGTAATGGTTGTTTGTGTGAAAATCCCAGTAGAGGAGCAGTTTCTGAAATACTCCAACTAGCCTGTCTGGCATATACCATACCACATTCAAAGTCACTAAACTCCCCTTTCTTCCTAATCTTGATCCTCGGTTGGAACTTTAGCAGGTTGCCTTGACCATGTCTACATGCCTCAATGCATTAGATAGCTAATGCATTTTTTTTATTTGAAGATTTTGTCAATCAGTTGATGAATGGATGTAACTAATGAAGTGGCCAGTTACTGTATGTAATGTAATCATTAGACATTCATGCATTTATAGGTTTTTCCAGACTGTGCATCTCTACTACATTTCATTATAGCTTCAATTATGCAGTTTTAATTTTCAGTTTTACCAA